TTTTTGAAGTTACATTCGTAGTTTTGCAAACACTCGTAGCATTCTGCGTTTGTTATAATCTCGTGTATAATTTCATTTAAATGAATCGTAGTCAATTCACGGAATACAATATTAAAATATGTGTCTAAAAATTGTAAATTTTTCATTTGCCGTCGTACATTTTCCTCGATTTCGCGATATTTATCAACGAGCGTCCGTTTTACGAAATCTTCGTTTACACCTTCCTTCGTGAGATTAAGTTCTATTTCGCCTACTAAAATATATTTGCAATTACTCACAAGAGCGGCAACCGCTTGTAAATGTTCGTATCTAGCATCGATACATTTTGTGACAGTTTGCAGACCATCGAAAGATGTCTTCTGCATTATAATATTCTCCGTATACAGCTTATGCTTCTTCAGCGGCGGTTGCTTCAGATGCGTAGACTCCTCCGATGTCTTCTTCGCAGGTCCGCTCTCGTCCAGCATTTTCCCTCGCTGACTCACCATTACAGCTCGTGCACCGTACGCTGAGGTAAAGTTGATGCTGATATTGTTGATGATGATAGGGGTTGGTGTATTCTTATTTTCCCCACACAAATAAGAATTTGCAGAGGGTATAATATCTTTAAACTTCTCCCACGTATTCAAATCAAGGAGAATTCCTGAAGATGTGTTCCCCATGATCCTGATCGTTGGCTCAAATGGACCCATGTCGTACGTGGTGCGCAATCCAACCTGCATCCTCTTAGTGTCCGAATTGTTGAGCGCGTACGTCGTACATAGAAGCATGTTACGGACGTTTCCCACTTCTGTAGAGAGACTGCTCGTCTTCTTCGACGTCTTCTTGAGAGCGGTGTCCACGTTAGCGCCGAACATTTTTCTTCCAAGAACTTGTTAATAACTTGTAAAGAACTTGTAATAACGAGAACTAGCTATGCTGCAAGTAGGAGCAACGAAGCTTGAATGCTTCGCCAGTCTCAACACCGTATGTCTTTCCCCGTAGAGAATAGAGAAAGTAATGGGGATGGTGATGCGCAGACGTAAAAGGTCTACAATTACTTATCTTTTTCAAAATGATAAGATATAGTTTTTATATTTACTTAGAATGGAGAGATAGACTACCGTATCAATACCATAATTTTAGACTGGACACGCTCAGAGATAAAGAAATCAGGGGAAATTTAAAAGTAGAATATTACAGTTAAATTGACATATAGTATCAACATAGCGAGAGACGGATCATCACAAGCTGCAATGGCGAAGCAATCATCAAAATTTAACAAAAAGAAGAAAAGTTCAGAGAAGCAGCTCATCGGTAACGAAAAGCATCGGTTGGTGGAGGAGTTGCACGCTCCAGCGAGAAGATATTTTCCCCGTAGACGCGTCATAGTACGCGGATATGATGATCTTTGGCAAGCTGACTTGGTAGAGATGCGTCCTTACTCGCGATTCAATAGAGGCTACCACTATATACTCACTATTATCGATGTGTTGAGCAAATATGCGTGGGCTGTACCGATGAAGAGCAAGAGCGGTAAAGAAGCAGTGGCAGTGTTCGCCAGGATATTTCAAGAATCTGGAAGATGTCCAAAAAATTTGCAAACGGACCAGGGAAAAGAATTTTATAATGCGGATTTGCAGAAACTCCTTAAAAAACACAGTATCAATCATTATTCTACGTACTCGGTAATGAAGGCATCTGTTGTGGAACGATTCAACCGCACGTTAAAGAACGACATGTGAAAAATGTTTACGTTGAATGGAACATACAAATGGATCGACTCGTTACCACACCTTATCATGGAGTACAACACACGGAAACATCGAACTATCGGCATGCGTCCTACCGATGTGACACCCGAAATCGCTGATAAGCTCCTACACACAGTCTACAACAACGTAAAGATCGCTGCGCCTGCGAGATTCAAAGTGGGGGATCTGGTACGCGTGAGCAAGTTCAAAACCATCTTTGAAAAAGGCTATACACCGAATTGGACAACCGAAGTGTTTAAAATCGTCAAAGTGCAGACAACTAATCCAGCGACCTATCTGCTCGAGGATTCTCGCGGAAAGTCTATTGCTGGAGGATTTTACGAATACGAACTGCATCGCGCTGCTAATCCTGACGTTTATCTCATGGAAAAGGTGTTGCGAAAAAGCGGCGACAAGGTTTTAGTGAAATGGTTGGGATTTGATAATTCGCACAACTCTTGGATATACAAAGAAAATGTATTGTAATCAATTCTTTGTTATAAACACTTTTTTATTACAATATCCTAAACAGCTTGTAATAAACCATCTTTTATTATAGTTAACAATATTTCTTACAAACAAATATATATACAATGATCGCTTTTCATTTTACAATATACATGTATGCACAATGATCGCTTTTTAGTTTACAATTGTATCCTGTAATGTCCCCATGGTAAAGTGTCTGTTGAGTTCGGTACGATATACCGCTTGTCACCATACGGACTCAGAGCAGTTTTCAGTTCGGACACGGTGTAGACTTTGTGCATTTTGGATCGTATGCATGACTGACGACGTTGCTTTTCGACCTCATCTCTCAGACACTGCATATAATCATCAAACGTTATAGTTCGCGCTACGACATTGGTCTTCACACCTTTCGCCTTCTTCGTGTCATTTTTGCTGTCTACCTTTAGCGCGTACATCTTTGCTCTGAGCCCGACGAATTCCGTCATAATCGCTCCGTCATTTTCATCTTTCATCAGACCTGGTACCTTTTTGTTGACAAGCGGTATACCGTACTCATTATCAGCGGGATAATCACTCGTATCAAACTTAGAAATATCACGTTTCATGTGCTCGAAAATATCATCACATTGCATATGGTAGATTAAACTGTCAGTATCGATGTACATTACTTTACATCTGTTCTGATACAGAGGAGACATGTACTCGTGATGAAATTCGTACAAGCAGATCTTGGATATGTCAAGGATACACATACCCACCCATAGATCGGCTTGTTGAATTTCACCTCAAGTTTACGTAGCTCAATGGCGATTAAATTTTCCGAAAAGACACTTCTGCTATCAAAATTTGGTCTCGCAATCATTGCCTCAGCACCGTATCGTCCATCCCATTTTGGCAATAGTTTTACGTCTACGTGATTGCGAACGTTTTCCATAGTTTTACCGAACACCGCGTTGTTCATCAATTTGTACAAATTTTTCTCGAAATCGTTTGTCGCGCGTGTTCTAAACTGCGTATTCAGTTCGATATAATCGCGGAGCCATGGAGATTGTGCAAATTTGAGTATGCGGTGTATCTTTCCAATACGAAGACCGTGACGCGTGCACTGCTGCAGGTTGCGATAATGAATCACATAACGCTGCTTATCGCATAAGGTTGCGAGAAGCTTGTCCTGCTTTTTGTTTGGCGGTTTGCCCCGCGTCGGACAGAACGGTAGGTCAGTGTGCGCGTCGTGCAGATGTTGCTGATACTCTAAGTCAATCTCCAGAATGTAACCTATAGATGAATCTAGTGCGATTGATGATACGTCGAATTTCGATACATCATCGACCCATCGAAATTCGGCGTATGGCAACTGTTGACACATTGCCCAACCATACAAGTTATTTACATCGAAGTACATCAAATATGATGATGGTTGCAATGGATCGTAAGACTGCATGTACTTGTTATTGGCTTTTGCATATCTACCGGAACATTGACTGAGGCCACCGCGAATACCGCGCTCGATGAACATGACCATATCGATATCAGTGAGCAGTTCGAAATTAACGCCCGCATGCTTCAACATAGCATCCCACGTAAAACCAGGCAAAGTGTAATAATACGCGGGATCTAACCCATAACTTTTGATACAACTATTGCGGAAATTTTCAAAAATATCGGCCAGCAACAAGACATCAATCTTCAGATACAAGTTGCTATATTCACCTAAGGTTTGAATGGCGAACCGTTGCCAGATGTTCGTGGCGTGCGCGTAATCGCTCTCAGATACCGTGTCACCCGTCAACGAACTGTAAAATGACTCGCGCGGCGGTAAACACCGATCCTGCAGTTTGTCCGCGCAATCAAGGTATTCGTACGGGAAGACCCCCTTTCGCGTCAATAAATCAAAATCCTTGTCGGACAAATTTGAAAATTCGGACCGAACAATTTTTAATTTGTCGTTGTCGAGAAAAGACGCCAATTTATCGAGACTACTACTGAGAAATTTGTACGAATCGATGAACCGCAATTGTATACAATTTTTCCATTTATTCTTACTATCCATCATGTTTCCTACAGTCTTTGTAAATGAAATATATTTCTCTTTGGTTATCGGTAGTACAATGATTGAACCTTCGAACGCGGTTGCTATATCTTTGATGATAAAGTGTGAATCATAACCGGATAAGTTGTGAAAGACCATGCAATAACTGTCTTGATAATTTAGATTGCAATTGGAATGCGCGGGACCTCTGTACCGTCCAGTCAGGTGGCAATGATCGGGCACGCGTGTATCATCCTTTGCGAATGATTTCTCGCACACATGGCACAGCATAGCGTTTTGAAATGTCTCCCACTGTTCTTTCGACAAAGTTTCCATGGGGACATTTGCGGACAAAATATCCTTTACACGATGTGCCAGTTCTTCAAGTTCTTTGACAAACCATGAGATGCAATCCCGATCGCGACGACATCGATACGCGGATAATGACTCGTCGTAGGAACATCGAACGTAATATGCTATACTAAATACGCTATGATGTTGATACGCATACGAACTCGTTTGTTCTTCCCTCGGTGTCTTCTCCAGGATGCATTCCAAGTCGGCGTAAACTATAAACGGGATCCGCTCCTTCCTGCAGTAGTTGGTGAAGCTGAGCCATTTGTTGTCATCGTTTGGCAAGATGATGGCACAGTTATTCATTTTTTGACAGTCGACGGTATGGTTCTCCAGCTTCTCGCTCGAGCTGAAGTAATGTAGACATCTGGAAAAACATTATTTGTTATTAGTATATGTCACATTATACATTGCGTTCTTTGTGTATACTTACCGGTCGCAAATATGTTTTTTGTGTTCCTTTTTGCTCAGTTGTGAGCTGACGAGTCGGGACAAATTCTTGATCCACGCGAAGTGCCCAGCGTTATCATCATCTCGCGGATCTGGGATATGCAGCAGGTTGACATGCTTCTCCATTTTCTGTTCCGTAAGACGTATAGGTGCGACCACGTTCCCTTCTTTCTTTGTCGCGTTGTCATATCTCTTCTCCACACTATAAATGTTGACCGAGATATCGTTCAACCGTTCGAACTTTTTAATTTGATTTATGCGCATTGGAAATTCAATGTCCTGCATATTCAAAACCGATGTATAGTGTGGGTACGAAGATTGACGATCTGCGTGTTTGTCGGCTGGACATAACGCTGCAACCACTGCCCATGCGAAACATGCATTGTCCATAGATTGCACGTTGATTATAGCCCGCTTCATTTTTATTTCGCGCGGTAACTCGATATGACATCCCGAATGTAATGGATTGTACTTGTTAACATTAACGGTCAGATTGAGTATGCGCGAGAGTGCCCACCGCTATCTCGTTCCTGAAATTCTTCCATGGACGCTAAGGTGGGTTCGATAACACGCATCGCGAACCAATTGTCTAGATCGGATGTGAAAAAAAGTTCAACGTTCCTCGTATTAATGCTCTTGTTCGCGCGTTTATCACCTGCCACAAATTCACCGTTGAACACAGTATTCACTTTTATGCTACCATGTCTCTTCATAACGCTTCGCACATGCTCGAGCACGATATTCTTCACATCTTGGAGAAATCGAAGAGGGTCGATATAGTCTGTATTTACAATCGCCCCGGTTGATATGCGACTATTGAACGCTGTATCGATTTCTCGCCAAACAAGTGTCGAATGTCCGGCTCCTGCGTATACAAAACGTCTGCGCAAAGTATTTTTTAAACCCTCGAGTTGCGCTATACGAGCAACCATCGAGTGCGCTGAACCAACCGATAGTCGTGGTTGTTTGGCTCTG